TCTTATACCTTTGCCCTGTTTCTCTATATCTTGTTTCTGTCCTTTATAACTTCTTTTCCTTTGCTTCTTCCCTATCTTCTTCTCCCTCCCCTTTTTACACCCTTGTCTCTCCACTTCTAATTCTCTCTTCTGTAATCCCCTCTTCTGTTGCTTTCTAATATTACACTTATTTTTCAAACTATTCTTTTTGGGGGGTTGTTTTCTCAAATCTTAAACTTTTCATTCTCTTTCCCCCCTTTCCTTTTTCCCCCCACATAAAATTACTTGTTCATTAAAGATGGCTTCTTCTTTGTCCCAATCTTCTTGTTCTGCAAGCGTTTCTTGTTGTTTCTCATAGTTCCAGATCTCCATTTCTAAGAGTTGAAATACGAAGCCAAAAGAACCTCTCCCTTCTTGTGCATCTTCTTTGTACTTTTTAAGTTCCATTTTCAGTTCTTCTAAAAGTGGTGCCATTTTAAACACTTTTAAACAACCACCCGATTGATTTTAGTCATTTAAATGCAGTAACCAAAAATCCAGAGATCACCAAGTAATCCAAATAATCCCAAGGTGTTTCTTCTTGCTTCTTTTTCAACTTTCTCTTCCTGGGGTTCTACTATTTTGTTGCCAAGTTTCAGTTAAAATGTCTTTTAGGAATCTTGTTGAGGTTTTAGTTCCAGGCAGTCTCCTCCATTTTTCCAGATCCTGCCCGTTTATTCTTTTTCTCTCCTTTCCTGCTTTGAAAAGCTTTTAAGTATCCAGAAATCTTTATTATCCCTTTGACATTTTATTTTCAGCTTAAATGCCTGTTGATGTCAAAGTGGATTTTTTTTCAATTTCTTGCTTAAGTCTTTTAGCTGTCAGTATATAGAAGGGAAGAGAAAAAAACAAACTAAATCCTTTCCCTTTTCTCTCTCCTTCGCTGCTTCAAAATCTTCTTAGGGAACAATGTTATTTTTTTATAGTTTAAATACCAGGGTACCTTGCATTGTTGCTTTTGCAGTTTAACCCGGCCAACCAAGACTTTCACTTCTTATCTTCCTCCTGCACATTCTTTTCCAGTCAAGTTCTTCTTTGAGGTGGCCATTTCTGACCACCGCTGCAACTGCCTTTGGGAAAGGCAGTAATGGCCAGCTGAGGAGGAGAGATGAGGCTCTCCTCAACCCTGCTGGCAGTCTCCCCCCTCTTCACCACCTCTACGGGTTCACTTAGCCCCGAAGCCCGGGGCGCTCTAGTGGCGAGCACAGATTGAAACCGCTCACGATCATGGTTTTAGTCTGTCAGCGAAGAAACACAAACTGGAAGTCCCCCAATCTTATTTCATTTTTCAACACAGTGATTAAATTAGTAGACCAACAAAATACTGTGGACATAATATATTTAGATTTCAGCAAGGCATTCAATAAAGTAGACCACAACCTACTTCTTAGTAAGCTAGAAAAAAGTGGAATAGATAGCACCACCACTAGATGGATTCACAACTGGCTGGCAAACTGTACTCAATGAGCAGTCCTTAATGGGTCGAAGTCTACATGGAGGGAAGTAAGCTGTGGGGTGCCACAAGGTTCCGTCTTAGGCCCAGTACTCTTCAATATCTTCATTAATGACTTAGATGAGGGAATAGAAGGGGAACTTACAAAATTTGCAGATGATACTAAGCTGGCTAACACCCAAGAAGATAGGCTCAAGATCCAGATGGATCTTGACAGACTAGAACACTGGGCCATATCTAATAAAATGAAGTTCAATATAGAGAAAAGTAAAGTCCTACACTTAGGCAAGAAAAACCAAAAGTACACATATAGACTGGGTGAAACCAGGCTCAATAGCAGTAACTGTGAGAGGGATCTTGGAGTCTTAGTGGACAACCAGCTAAATATGAGCAAGCAGTGTGCAGCAGCCGACAAAAAACCTAATGCAATCCTAAATTGTTATTAACAGAGGGATACAATCAAGATCAAGGGAAGTACTAATACCACTCTATAAAGCCTTAGTAAGACCACACCTAGAGTACTGCATCCAGTTTTGGTCACCACATTATAAAAAAGATGTTGAGACTCTAGAAATAGTACAGAGAAGAGCAACCAGGATGATTAGGGGACTGGAGGCTAAAACATACAACGAACGGTTGCAGGAACTGGGCTTGGCTAGTCTAATAAAGAAAAGGACCAGGGGAGACAAGATAGTAGTGTTCCAATATTTGAGGGGCTGCCATAGGGAGGAGGGGGTCAAGCTATTTTCTAAAGCTCCTATAGGCCAGACAAGGAATAATGGATGGAAACTGAACAAGGAGAGATTTAACCTGGAAACAAGGAGAAACTTTCTGACACTGAACAATCAACCAATGGAACAGCTTGCCCTCGGAAGTTGTGGGAGCACCATCACTTGAGACTTTCAAGAAGAGATTGGACTGCCATTTGTCAGAAATGGTGTAGGGTCTCCCACTTGGGTGGGGGGTTGGACTAGATGACCTACAAGGTCTCTTCCAACTTGGTTTATCTGTAATCTGTAAAACCCACACCTCAGAGTGAAGTGGTGTAATTGGTTCTTCTTGCTTTAAGAATCTTCCATCCTGATTTTGTTCGTGTTTTAAATGTATTACAAGTTTTAAATGTATTACAAGAAAGAAAGCAGGATCCGTATATTGTAGAAAATCTGCTTCTGCCATAAAAATGAGAAATTATTATGCCTCAAATCTTCCTTAATGTGAAGGAAGTTCAATTTGACCAATAAGCTTGTCTTTTGTCTCTGCTTTTCCCGAAACTATGGATTTTCACCACCATAATTTCTAAGTAGACATCCTCACTTGCAACTACTCCAGTTTCAAGTGATAAGATTGAAAGCTACTTGGTCATTACCTGATAAAATGAATTACCTAATAAAAAATTTAAAATATTCAATGTGTTTGTGTTTCTGAATCAGTAGTTTAATTGGAAAATTGAATGGTTAAAATTCAATAAAATGATGAACTGAATAGCAAGTAGAGAATAAGAATCCTATAGATTAAAAGTGTTTCCAACGATACTGTGTTGTGAATGCATATATTGGTATGCAGCAACACAAAGGTATATCTCTCATGCCATGTATTTATGTGAAGGTTTGAACAGGGGTGGGATACGACAGGGTTAACTACCGGTTCGGGATTTACGAGCTTCCCTGCAGGCTGCGAGCCGCGTGCCTGTAAATCGTCATCAGCAGCTGCCTGCAGAGAAGCAGTCTTTGAAACAGCCCTCTTTTCTTGCTGCTCTAACTGCAGCTGTGCCTCATTCGGCAGCTGAAGTTGAAAAATCAGGAAATAAAGATCAGGTAAGAGCCCAGGTGGGTAGGTGGGCAAAAACATCAGCAGACATAGAACCGGTTCTATGTCTGCTGCTCTTCAGAGCTACTGGTTCTACAGAGGTGGACAGAACTGGTTAGAAACCCACCCCTGGGTATAAATGTTTATATATGAAAGATGGAATGTATAAGAGATCCACTCAGTGTAAGCTTTAGAGGCAGAGGCATTTGTTCTGGAAAAAATCTACTTCTGCATTGGACAAATTCCAGGGTTCAGATCTTTAAGAAGACTTAGGAAGGAATTGTTTGTTTTGAAACAAAATATGGTTCCCCACATGTAATGAACAAGATGAGGCAATGATGGATAAATAAGTAGGCATGGTAAGAGTTCCAAGCTCAGACAGGCCAAATCTTGTAAAAAAACATTAGACCATCACATACATAAAGTATTGCGTATGATAGGTATCCCATCTTGATTCTACTGGAACTCTAAGCTGGTTAGAGTTTGAGTTGGCTAGGTATGTATGCATAAGTCTATATGCGCACACTTGTATGAATGAACGAATGAATTAATGAATGAATGAGTGAGTGAATAAAGTTCTTCATTCACAAAGAGAACAATAAAACTTTTAATTAACAGTTCTTTCTACATACATTGAATCTCTGCATAACAGCAAAGGTGGCATTCAACAGGTTCTGACCAATTCTGGAAAACCAGTAGCAGAAATTTTGAGTAGTTTGGAGAACCTGCAATTACCACCTCTGACTGGAGATTTTACAGTACCCTTCCCTGCCATACCCACCAAGCCACACCCATAGAACCGGTAGTAAAAAAAATTTGAATCCCACCACTGCATAACAGATAAATAGCATAGGACGGATTATAAAGACTGCCTACTAAGCTGTGTGAGAGCTTGACACAGAGTATGTTATATTAATCCAAACTGGATGTGAGCAAAGCCTACTTGATAGTACCTCATCTAGTTTCACTAAAATAGATGAAAGTGGCAACGACAGCTAGACAATAATATGTGGGGGTAAGGATGGGAATGATACAGTCCTAGTCAATTATTAATAGGTCATCTAGAAGTCAGGGATGCCCCACCTATAGCATGTGCCTATAAATTAAGCATGTGCAACATATGGGATCACAGAAGTTGTTGAATGTCCATCTGTTCCAGTCACCATGGTCAATGATAAAGGGTGACACATTGTTAATCTGTGATCCATGTAATTAGAAGTAGAATAAAACATTTTATGAATTTAGAGAGCTTAATCTATAATATAGCTATAGTACAGATTATTTATTTAATTAGATTTATATCCCACCTTTTATCTTGGTGCTCTAGGAGGTAGCATTCCCTTATCCCAACAACAACCCTGTGAAGTTAGTTGGACTGAGAGAGAGTGAGTTCCACAATGAGCTTCTGTGATTGAGGATGGAATTCATCCAGATTGTCCTGTGTCGTATTAACTATACTGTTTTGGTTTAGACACTATACATTGAAGAGTATAGTGAAATACTTTGCATTGTGCCTCACTGTATTATACAATACTGTACAGTTATGCAGCCTTCCTTTTTAAAACTAAAGTAGATGCCAGTCCCATTCACCCATGCACCTGTTGTATAAAAGTGAAGCATTGTTGCCCCAGAAATAATATGAATATTACAAGGTGATCTCTACATTCTTTTTTTCACTCATTAATGCACATTGAAACTCATTATTCTCTCCTGTTTTCTATAGATGGGATCCACAGTGTTGCTGCCCAATGCATGCTTCAGGTGACTATTATCACAGATGAGATGCTGACCAACAGTATCACTTTGCGGCTGGAGAACATGTCCCAAGAACGTTTCCTTTCACCACTTCTGGCTCTCTTTCTTGAAGGAGTAGCAACTGTGCTTTCTGCTCCCCGTGATCATGTTGTCCTTTTCAACATCCAGAATGACACGGATGTTCAGGCTGCCCAAATCCTGAATGTTAGTCTGTCAGTACAATTGCCGGATAGAGTCCATGGCAGCCATTACATTCCTTCAGAAGACCTCCAAGAACGACTGTACCTCAACCGGACCCTCTTGGCTGCTATTTCAGAGCAGAGGGTCTTGCCTTTTGATGATAACATTTGTTTGCGGGAACCCTGTGAGAATTATATGCGTTGTGTCTCAGTGTTGAAGTTTGACAGCTCAGCACCCTTCATTTCCTCCAACACTATACTTTTCCGTCCTATCCACCCTGTCAATGGTCTGCGTTGCCGTTGCCCATTGGGTTTTACTGGTGATTATTGTGAAACTGAGATTGATCTTTGCTACTCTAATCCATGTGGAAATAATGGACATTGCCAAAGCCGGGAAGGAGGATATACTTGTGATTGCCAAGACGGCTACACTGGTAAGTATTGATTTGAGGGGGAAAATCAGCCAAGGCAGGATCCCTCAAAAGGGAGCCCCTTAGTAATTATTGGTAGCTATTATCTTTGTTCTTTGTTAAATCCCAGTGCCAACATTCTACCTGGAATCATTGTAATTCTTTTCTCCAAGGGTGTTTTATTGTTCAAAATGACTTTTTATAATTAATTTATGCTTGTTAGGTAAGAGGGATTAGAATGCTGAAAGGGGCGTTGGTTCTTACCTGATACGCTTCTTTTCATGGGGCTGCGGAGAGTGTCCAGATTGGGAGGTGCTTCAGTCTCGGCTCCTACAGGCTGAGCTTGAAATTGAGGAACGCCTCTTGCCATCACGTGGTCCTCCGGCGTCCCAGTTTTGCGAAGACGAGAAGGCAGGCCCTGTACTCATGCTAACTAAAGAACGTTAATGTGCTTGGCTGAACGATGAGGTTCCCCACCAGACGGCTTAATGGGTGGGGCTGGACGCTCTCCGCAGCCCCATGAAAAGAAGCGTATCAGGTAAGAACCAACGCCCCTTTTCCATGGAGCTGCTACGAGCGTCCAGATTGGGACATACCAAAGCTTGGCTAGTCCTCCGGGTGGGTTCCCGTCTGGGGTGGAACCTCCTCTGGAACTTCGATAACACGCTGAAGGACACGCCTGCCAAAGGAAGCCTCAGCGGATGCAAATATATCAATCTTATAGTGCTTGATGAAGGGAGAGGGGGATGTCCAGGTGGCAGCCCTACAGATGTCAAGTATCGAGGCTTGCGTGGCCCATGCGGCAGAAGTAGCCGCACTTCTGGTGGAGTGGGCGGTGATGCCCACTGGAGCGGAAAGTGACTGAGCCTGGTAGGATTTGGCGATAGCGGCCCTAATCCAGCGGCCCACAGTTGAGGGCGTCACCTTGCGACCGAGAGAAGCAGGATGGAAAGACACAAATAAGGCCTCTGACTTGCGAAAGGGCTGGGTGCGTGTGATATACATCCTCAAGGCGCGTCTTACATCAAGGAAGTGCCACTGCCTCTCTTTCTCGTGAGAAGGATTGGGGCAGAAATCAGGAAGTATGAGCTCCTGATTTCTGTGAAATGCCGAGTTCACTTTAGGGAGGAAGGTGGGGTCGGGACGGAGGATGACTCTGTCAGAGTGAAAAGTACAAAGATCCTGTCTAATAGAGAGGGCCGCCAACTCCGAGATCCGACGGGCGGATGTGATGGCCACGAGAAAGACGGTCTTGAAGGTGAGGAGCTGTAAGGGAATCTCCCTTATGGGTTCAAAGGGGGACTTGGTGAGGGCGACCAGAACCTTGTTGAGGTCCCAGGTCGGAAAACGGTGTATGGTTGGGGGGCGGAGGTTGGCAGCTCCCCTAAGAAAGGTCTTGACAAGGGGGTGGTGGGAGATGGAACCCCCAGTGTCTGAGGGGACAACGGTTGCGAGGGCAGCAACCTGGCGTCTTAGGGTATTGGTAGAAAGACCCTTGTCGAGACCCACCTGGAGGAAGTCAAGGATTTGGGGTATGGAAGGAGAAAGAGGATTAATTCGACGTCTGAGGGCCCAAGAACGAAAAGCAGCCCATGTGGCATTGTATATGCGGTTGGTCGAGGATCGTCTGGCTGCCAGGATGGTGTGTATAGCCTGGTTAGAAATTCCCTGAGCCCTTAGACGGCTCCGCTCAACCTCCAAACGGCTAACTGGAGCCATTGGGGTTTGGGATGAAGTAGGGGGCCCTGAGACAGGGAGATCCTGTCTGGGGGGATCCTCCAGGGAGGGGCCACCGAGAGGTTGCGGAGGTCCGCAAACCAAGGGCGTCTGGGCCAAAAGGGAGCTACTAGGAGGATCTCTGCCTGCTCCAGGATCAACTTGTGGATCACCCTGGGGATGATGGATAGGGGGGGAAAGGCATAAAGGAGCCCTGGGGGCCAAGGGCAGCGGAGGGCATTGTGGTTCTCTGCCCCGGGAGAGGGGTACCTTGAAATGAACCTCGGAAGTTGAGCGTTCAGAGGGGAAGCGAAGAGATCCACCAAGGGGGGCCCGAAGATGGAAGCTGCTTCCCTGAACAGAGAAGGGTGGAGGCGCCATTCCGCTTGGTCTAGGGTGGCTCTGCTGAGCCAGTCCGCTTGAATGTTTAGGACCCCGGATATGTGATCTGCCCTGATGGAGGCCAGGTTTGATTCCGCCCACCTGCAAAGGCGCTCGGCTTCTCTCATGAGGCTTGCTGACTGAGTGCCCCCCTGCCTGTTGATGTGGGCCTTTGCGGTGATGTTGTCCGTGAGGACCAGGATATGACGACCGCGTACCTGGGGTAGGAAGCTGCGAAGCGCCAGGAGGACAGCGTGAAGCTCCAGCCAGTTTATGGAGCAGAATTGCTCTGTTGGTGACCATTTGCCCTGTGACGATATGGAGAGGACGTGAGCTCCCCAACCGAGTAGGCTCGCGTCCGTGGTGACGGATAGCCTGTCGGGCTCTTTGAAGTAATGACCTTTGTTTATGGCCGGCCTGGTCCACCAAAGGAGGGACGTAAGAACTCTCGGAGGAACTCTGACCTGAAGTCGGGAGTTGCTCCTTCCGGAACGTTGATACGGCAGCAGGAACCATTGTAGAGACCTGGAATGGAAACGGGCCCAGGGAATGATAGATATGCATGAAATAAGCTTCCCCAGCAACTTAGACAGTTCTAAGAGAGAAACTGTTCTTGCCCTCCTGACCTCCTTAATTGACTGTTGGATGCTAAGCCACCTGTCTGGGGACAGGAAAACTAGTTCCCGGTTGGAGTCAATCACTGCCCCCAGGTGAGTAAGTTGGGTAGAGGGGGAAAGGTGACTTTTCCTCCAGTTGATAATGAACCCATGGTTTTGCAGGGTATTAAGGGTGAGTTTGGTATCTCTTAGGGCGAGAGCTCTAGAGGATGAGAGGATGAGGATATCGTCCAGATAACAGTGAAGTCGGACGGGGAAGGAACGCAGGTGGGCGGCAAGGGCCGCCAAAACCTTCGTGAACACCCTGGGAGCGGAGGACAGACCAAAGGGAAGCGCGACGTACTGGAAATGTTGTCTATTATAGGCAAAACGTAGAAACCTGTGGTGGGAGGGACGAATAGCAATGTGCAAGTATGCCTCGGAAAGGTCAATTGAGGATAGCCAGTCCCCTCGACGGGTTCCCATAAGTATCGACTGCAAAGTGTGCATCTTAAATTTGCGGGGGGCAATGTAGCGATTTAGTCTTTTAAGGTCTAGGATCGCCCTCCAACCCCCCGAGCTCTTGGGCACTACAAACAGGTGGGAGTAGAAGCCTCGCCCCCGTTCAGAGGAGGGAACGGGCTGGATGGCCCTTATATCTAGGAGGTGGTGAATGGCGGCCTCCATGAGGGCCCGTTTTGCAGGGTTCCTGGAAGGGGGGGAAGACATAAAGAATTCGGGGGGGGAGGAGTGGAACTCGAGTGCCAGTCCGAGACGAACCGTATCTCTGACCCATGCGTCAGTAGTGATGGCCTCCCATTGGTGAGCAAAATGCTTGAGGCGGCCGCCTATGGGAAGGTTTGCCCTAGCGAGATCGACGGAAAGGTCGGTTTCCGGATCCCCGGAAAGGCCTCTTGAAGGAACCTCGTCTGGACCTGTCAGACGAGTCTGACCGGACCTGCGAGGAGGGGGTTCTGTAGGGAGGTTGGGAGAATCTGGAGGGACGAAAGGAGCCTCGACGAGGGGAGGGGGAGGGGCCTCTGGGGTCGGGCCTCCGAAAAAGAGAGGGGAGGTACATGCGTTTGTTCCGAGTCTCGGCCAGAAAGGGATCGAGGGCCGGTCCAAAAAGTTTCCCCCCAGAGATGGGGGCTGAGGCCAGCTTGGCCTTGTTTTTGACATCCGCTTGCCAGTGGCGGAGCCAGAGCAAGCGGCGGGCAGTGACTTGGGAGGAAATGGCCTTGGTGGAGAACTTGGCGGCTTGAAAGGTGGCATCCGCCGAGAATTCAGCCGCGGCCATAAGTTTGGCGATGTCCTGTTGGGCTCTGAGGTTGGCCGCAGGGACATGTTGTTTGAGTTGTTGGAGCCATTTAATAGAGGACCTAATGAAGAAAGAAGCAGCAGTGGATGCCCTGACTGCCCAGGCATCGGAATGATGAGCGCGGCGTAGGGCCAGCTCGGCTCGTTTGTCCTCGGGCTTGAGGGCCTCGAGAGCATCGCTAGGGGTAGACCGGGAAGCTAGTCCTACAATGGGCTCGTCCACAGGGGGGGGATCTAGCAAAAGAGTGAACTGCGGGTCAAGATTAAAGAAGCGTTTATCCTGGGCAGAGGGAGGGGGGGAGGTCCTGAGGAGGCTAGCTGCCTGGAGACCATGTCCGAGAAGATAGGTGGGACGGGGACCACATCGGTCTCCACCATGGGCTGGGAAAAGATGGAGTCGAGGGGTTCCCCCGAAGCCGCTGGTTGGGAAGGAGTGGGGGAGGTCAGGCCGGAGGTATTCTTGGCCTTAAATAGAATGGACCTAAACAGGTGCGGCTTGAACAAGCCCACGAAGGCGGGTTGGTCCGGAGTGAGGCCCTCGTCCTCCGACATGTCCCCCTCCAGTGGGTCTGCTCCCGAGAAGGGCTCACTGCCAGAAATGGACCCCAAGTCTAGGTCCTCGCCTTCCCCAAATTGGGTAGGATCCCCGAGCTCCTGAGTTTCTATCTCCTCCTCCAAAGACAGGGGGAAATTCCCGTGGGATGCTACCTGCCCGTGCGAGGCCTCGGATCCAGAGAATGAGCGAACGGAAGGTGCCTGCGCTTCAGAGGTCGCGGGCCGTGGAGCCGGGCCGGCTATATGCTGGAGCTCTTGCGTTATGCTTTGTCGGATGGCCAACTCCATCCACTGCCTGAGATTCTCCGGGATTTCCAGCACGGGAGGTGGGTGAGGCTCCTCTGGGCGTAGACCTGCAGCGGTGGGAGTAAATGTGGCCTCAGGGGCCTGTCTAGGCTGAGAGTGAGAGGAGGGTGCCGGGGAGGAGGGGAGGGGGGGGTGGGTGGAAGTTGAGGGAGT